AAATATTAATTAAAAAATTTAGGTTTGATTTACGATTCAATATTTAGAAGAGGAGAGAAAGAAAAAAAATAAAATAAATTAATACAGGTCACCAATTTAATTTACCAATTTGATTAGGTTTTTTGATTTGAAGGTAGGTTGGCTGAGCTGAAATTGAGTCATAAAGTGACTTGTTTTGTTCAAATAATTGAACGAGTCAGGTGACTAGTTCATAGGTCAACCTAATAAGGTTGATATGGTTATAAACAGTGTTTAAGATTTTTCAATGCACTATGCAATTAAATAGCATTTTCATTAAATTTAGGTAGATCGTCACCCAAACCATCTCTCAAGAATAGAATTGAACATTTTGTTTGGTTTAAAAAAGGGAGGTGATGTTGTAGAGGGGAGGGACTTGTTTGGCAATCATATGGCTAAGGGAGGAAAAGGAAAATTTTATAGGAGATTTAGAAGGATTCCTCCCTCTAAGCCCTCCCCGCCCCTAAATTAGGGGGATTTTGGAAGATTCCTCCCTCTCCCTCCTTCTTTTAAAATCCCTCTACTTCCTTCCCTTTAACCAATAGAGTAAATGCTTTACCATAAATGTTTGTAAGTCTTGGTAAATTCCTCAAATGGATCCTCGTGAGACTTCTAGAGATATCCCTTTCAAGGTTATTATCAACTTAATAATCTTTAATTACATTTTTTCCATTAAGTGAAACCTATTGAATTTGGTGAGTGCTAATAAATAATCTTTTAAAATATTTCATCTTTTTCAAAAACGTGTGAAATATTTGGAGTAACATTTTATGCAAAATACATACAACTTCTAATTCACAAATACATTTTTACAATTTTGGAAACAATAGTATAACCTCAAAAGAGGAGTAAATGGAGATGGAAATGTGTACTTCTTGAAGGTGTTCTAAGCTTTCAAACTTAGGAAACAACATATTTTCATCATGGGATGGACTTAAGCTACATAAAATAATAAAAGTTTGTAGGGATGACACATTTCGTATAATTCCTTCTATTGGGAATTTTAAGTGGTCAATTCCATTTAACAAGGATGTCAACTTCTTTAAATTATCGGAAGCTAAGTTCACATCTTTCTTTTTTTTTTTTTGTGAAGATATGACTAAGAACTTATTGAATCGCAAAGTCCAATACTTTGATTGTATATTTGAAAGCTACGCCTCAAAGTCTTGTAGAAAATTATTCAAAAACAAAGTAATGAGATTTTTTGAAGGAAACTTTAAAAACTTGGGCATCTCTTTTATATGAGTCCCTAAAAGAAACCTTTTCCATTTTTTCCAACTTAGGATGACAATTTCTATCATCATTCTTTACAAAGAATTTGGCATTTGACTCATATTCACATGTTAATTAAAAAGCTACATGTCTTACGATATCATGCATTTTTAACAAATCTTTTACTACCCATATTCTTTAGCAAGATTCAAACTTAAATTATATATTTCTCCTTATTTATGTGCTTCACATATATATATATAGATATATATATATATATCATGATCATATTTAAAGCAATAGCCTTCCATAATGCACAATAAAATAAGCTAATTTGTATTTGTACTACAGTCATCATTAGATAGAGACCATATAAAAAGCAAGGTTTGGTTGTATCAGTTGGCAATTAATGGCAACTAAATTCATGCAAAGAATAGACATAAACCATATATACCTGAAAAGTTCAAGGATAGCTCTCCAAAGTTTCTAAGGCTTACTTCTATTATTGGATTAAGGTTTTACTAATCAGAACCTGCCCAACCACACAAGAGTCAGTGTAAACTTAGCATTTACCGCACATTAGTTTAACAAGTCTTTTTATATGATTGTTTGAGATTACGTCTACATCCACCTTTTCTTTGAAGAGTTCAAATAATTTTTTAGGTACCAAAGTGTTAATCCTTTTAAATTTTCTTGCTCATATTTGACCATATGTTTTCTCAACAAAATGACTATTATTATATTTGATCTACTTTTATTTGAGAGACTCATAATTTCAACAAATCACATAGGATGAGCACAAATTTTTCTCTCTTCAAGTTTCTGCATATTTAAAGAAGTCCTACGATTCAACGTTATGTTTTTGTCATATGTCATCTCTATATTTAAATGATGCTACAACACTAATTCACATAACTACATCACATCGTGTTGTCGAGAGAAATTCATTGTGATACTTTTTTTAATAAGATTGTTTTTCCTACCCTATGAATGCTATATGTGCTAATAATACCAACTTCATCTATGTCAAAGTACATATAAAGCTCTAAATAAATTGGTTCCAAACAAATAATTTATTTAAAGGGAAATTCAATCAAAGATATCAAAAAATTTTCTTTACTACGACACCTATAAATTTAGCATGAGGTTGATCCACTATATTTCTCAAAGAGTTAAAGTTGTCTCTAAAAATTGAATGCGGCATTTGATTGTAGTGCCCTTATCACAATTAGGTTTTGGTACCACTTTTATTAGTTATAATAACTACTTGTTAGCTTTGATGCCACTCTTATTAACTTTAATACCACTTGAACAGTTGGAGAGTATATGTGAAAAGAAAAATAAGCCTAAATTAAATAAAATTTGTCATATTTTATATATGCATTTAATCATACAACATATAGCAATTTTTTTGAAATTAAAGTTATTTTAAAATGGCTAAAATTTAGTAATATAAATTTGATTTCGATCTTCAATCACATTTATTCTAATAAGTCAACCCTATTGAATTTTGTTGGGAAATTAATTAGTAGTCTTTCAAAATGTTACATTTTCTCCAAGAACTTATAAAATATCTAGAAGAACCTTTTATTCAAAGCACAAAACACCTATAATTTACAAATATATTGTGCATTTTGGAAATAACAATACTTTCTCAAAGGAGGAGTAACTAGAGACAAAATTTGCACTTCTTGAAGGTGTTTTGAACTTTCAAGCTTATGAAACAACTTATTTTTATCATAGGATGGACTTGAGCTACATAAAACACTAAAAGTTTATAGAGACGACACATTGCAAAGAGCTTAATAATGCAATATATAATGTTAACGTTAATTCATTTGTTAACATTAAAAATTAATTTTTTAAAAAAAATATATAATTCATTTGATAATTCAATTTGATGTTATTTTGTACCGATAATGAAAGGTGGGGCAAGAGGATAAGAAGGCCTTGTAAAGCACCCAATATTTTAAATTGCTTAACATATTTATGTCAGTATTGTATATGATTATGATACTGATACAAGATATACTTCTTTTATAAGTATAAATATAAGTATTGAATATTTTTTGATTTAATTTTTTGATAATTTTTAATAAACAAATGAGCAAATTATCCTCTAAACTATATATTCATAAGTATTTGAGATCCTAACTCATCTTTTATCATATTCTTCAATTTCTAAAATGGTATAATCTAACCTCAGCTATAATAAAAATTAATCTTGATTGTCAGTTAATTAAAAAATTATAAAAAAAATATGTCAAAAACTACAGAAAAAGACAAAAAAAAATCTCTTGATTTGGGCCATTTGGCTTGGAACAACAAACAATTATCTTGGCCCAAGCCACATAAGACACATTCACCATATTCTAACCCAAAGAAAAAGTCTTGTCAGTTTCCATTATGAGGCTCCCTTTCTAAGGTTAGAGCACAACATTTTTTATTTTTCCACCGTTAAAGTTCAACAACATATAGCTGTCATCGTCTTCGTTGTTATTATTGCTGTGTTTGATATGTGTTATCAAAAATGCTCTCACTTTCTTTAAGCAAGAAAGCACACACGGTCTTTTAAGCAAGCAAGAAATGTCCCGTCTTTCCCCATATATCTAATTAGATGCCATCCTTAAAGAGAACACTTAATATTCATTTTTCAAAGATCATGATGACTTTTTTTTTATTCCTGTAGCCAAACATGATGCTCTCTAGCACCCATCCGTGAAACGAACCAAATGCCGTTTAATATTCAATTCAATCGAAACATTGTAAAGTTGTGAGAAGGAGTTTGAGGTGGATTCTAGCTATTTGAGAAAGATTCTGGATTTAATTTTGTCCCTATTTTGTCATCTTTTTTAAGATGAAACACTAGTGAAGCTATTACATTGCTCGCGCGTATTTCACGAACGAAGAGATGGGATACTTAATTTGCACAGAAGGAAAGAGAATTTGCCCACTTTGGTGAAAAGATCTCAGCCCACCTCCCATCTGGTGGTATGTTAAGAGTCTTTATTTATAAATTTACTATTGCTTTTTGTTTCTTGGAAGAATACGTTTCTAGAATTTTTTGAATAATAAAATGAATGATTCTTTTACATCTACAACAAATTCGCGGTGAAGTTCGCACTAGTTTAAAAAATTTAATAAAGGACCCAAAAATTATACAATCCGTTTAACGATAGCGAATATTACAAGTATTATCAATAGATTATATAAGTTATGCCTGAATTTAAAAAGAATATAATCTTTTAATATAGTATAATACTTCAAATTGTTTTACGTTTTCCCCCCCAATGTTTTCGCTAGAGACATTTAATTTTGAAACTAATTCAAACATTGTTCATTAAAACTTAAAAACATTTTAAGATTTTTTTTGAAAACAAAATACAACTCTTTTTTTTAAAAAAAAAAAGTAAACAAGAGTCATTTAAAATATCAAGTCCCATCGATTGATCCAGATTCATTCAATGCAAGTCAGGCCTAATTAAAGGGAAAGCTTTATCATGCGGTGTGACCTGCCTGACTCTCCATCCGAATCAGTGGGGTCTAATTTGGCTTCCATAGACTATACAATACAGTGTTTGTTTTTTTTTTTTTTATCCCACCATATTCATATGCCTTACTAGTTCCAAGAATATTTTACAACAGCCTGTCTCCAACATCTGTAACAAAAAACTCCAGCAAGGAACAAGGGGATAACAAATTGAAGAAAATGTCAAAAATTCGTTGATCACTACACAAAAATTCCTATATAGCCAGGTTCCAGTTTGCATATGGGAGCCAGTAATCAGTGCATAGACGCATTTAATCAATGGCGATGATGAGGAAACCAACAGACACATACATGAGAAAAACTGGGTACAAAGCAAGTGCCTTTCTCCTTGGATTGACTGCAGAACTCATGAAAGGATATGCCGCCCAAGAGCTCCAAGCCAATGTCACAGATACCACAATCACTTTCAGTATGACATTGTCCTTTAACATACAGATTAACGCCCCAACGGCCAGAGGGAACAAACAGTAACCAGGAGACTTATACTCTGGAAGAAAATAATATGCCCACCCTGGAATTCCAAAGAAAAAAGAATGAAAAGATAACTGAACTATTTGCATTAAACAAACTATGGAGAGTAAAAATAGCACATCAACCCTCAATTTTTAATACCCATAATGCAATTGCTTTGTAAAATTGCATCCTTTCCACAGACTAAAAGATACTTTTACTCATCATCACGAATAAATATTTAGTTGACTAGATAAAAGTTGATACTCACAACGTGACCAGATGAATGTGAGAGGGAGGGGGGATGCAATTGCGTTGTAATTGCATCCTTTCCACAGACTAAAAGATACTTTTACTCATCATCACGAATAAAAATTTAGTTGACTAAAAAAAGTTGATACTCACAATGTAACCAGATGAAATGCGTGTATTTGTGAGAGAGAGGCCCTTACCAGAAGCAGAACATTTAACGTCAAAATTACAGCACCAGCAGCAAGTAAAGCAAAAGCAACAGCGAACACCTCAGACTGAGACAAATTCAGAAGCAGTGTAAGTAGGGATTAACTAAAAGTCTAAAACCAATAAAATAAATGATGCCACATGGCATAAAACACATAATACAAAAAAGAAGACCTGGGTGCTACCAAAAATAAGCATAACGAAGTAAAAGGGCATTAACCCCTAAACCTATTATGAACTTCAACAACACTCAAACAAACATGAGTGCTACAGACTTACAGTAGTGCATCCTCAACAAGGCTTGCACAATGGCAGATACGTGGGCAAGGGTAGTGGCTTAAAAAGAAAGCAATACCCTATAACGTATTAATAAAGCTTTCACTTAATCAGTTCCTCTAATAGAAAAGAAATATGATCTAATCCTTCTAGTACGAACACAGAGAGAAAGAGACATTAAAATTTATAAATGATGTTCATCCACATGTCAAGTTGCTTCTTCATTACAACATTCTCTGGGACCAAATGCGATAGACAACAAATCCTGAATACCTAAGCAGGGACTTGAACTTCTATAATATGTGTAAGGACAGTATTTTAACATCCTAGGATTTGCTCATTAAAAATACAAAAGAAAATTGAGCTTGAAAAATAAAATTAATTAACTAGTTTTTCAAATTGTTAGCTTCGTTTTTAGCATGGTAACGGTGGCAACAGACACGGACATGAAAGATTAAGTATGAAGGCTAATACACATAAATAATGCCAATTTTGTGTGTGTGTGTGGAGTTCTCAAAATCAACTCCTTTTGATGGATTCTACACAAAATAAAATCTGCAGACAATAGGTTCTGCATCTCCCATCAGACCAACAATAAACTGAGTTCCCAAATTCCTATCAGCTTACTAGTTATAACAGCAAATAGCAAAACAGAAAAAAGACAGTATCAAATACAATTAAAAATAAATTAGATATTCATGGAAAAATGTAAACTTCTCTACCCAAAAACTCACTTAACTTCCCGAGAGAACATGTTGTAGCCAAATTATTGGAATGACAACATGTATGAACAATTTGAAGGTGCCAAATTTCCTCATGAAGAACATAATTTCTAAATCCTAACCAAACTTTCATCAGAAGTTGAAAGGGATAAAATATCCATCACACTTCCATAAGACAAAAGTTAGGTGACTGAAGTCAAAGAAACAACTCATGACAAAGTCCTCCAACTGTAATTCATGGAGCAACAAATTTGGTACTTCAGAATCTATATTTCTTCTCCAACAAAAATACATCCCGTCAAATTGAGATGTTCAAAGTCATAATCGATTCCTTAATCAAATTCAGAGGTCCCCGTGAAGCCCCTTCTACTGATAGAAACTTAAGTAAACTGATATCGTCACATCTCCATGTTGAATAGCTTTGAATTCATTCTCCAAGATTTGATAGTTCGATAGGTACAGGAAAACAAATGACAGAGATCAGAATCACTATCTTAAATATTGGGGAGAAAAGGGGGTCTCAAAGCTTTGTGACAAACATGACCAGAGAGATGTACCGATATTTCACTAAATGAAAATCAAGAAGCCAAATAAACAATCAGAGACTAGAACTCAACCAAGCACTGTCAATTCCTGCATTGACTTAATATTTATAGATAAATTTAGCCCTCAAGTTCATTCATCAGATCATGAATTTATATCAACCGTTTTAAACAAAAGAATGATTAATGAACACTCAACTTTCCAGAAACGAAATAACACGAAAACTAACTGTTTAGAAAGAAAACCACAGTAGCGGGGTAAACAAATTGATCCGTTGTGCATGCTTTACCTTCTTGACAGACGCGGACCATGATAGAATGAGACCCAGAAACACGATAAAGAAGAAAGGTCCCCATAGATCCCAATCCCTCAAAGCCTTCCCAGGGTCTTCACGGAAGGGGTTGGGGAAAACAACCAGCTTCAGATTATTAACAATCCTCGAAAGATCCCTCTTGACAGTGTCCCAGACCGGTTCAGTTAGCGTATTAGGGATGGAACCGAACCCATCGGAAGCGATAGTCGGACGGCCATTTGATGATGAGGTTAGAACTGGAGGGACAGCTGGCGCAGATGGGGGCTTCTGATTGGAGGATTGTTGCGGAGGTTGAGGTGGTGGTGGTGGTGGAAGGTTAGAAGGAATGAAAGGGGAAGAAGATACGGGAATTGAAGCTCGAGGAGGACTGGGAGGCCTGGCGGGAAGAACCGTGGCGGGACTTGATTGGACGCTGGCATGAATGAGGTTCTCGATCTCGTCAATGTCGGACTGGGACGAGGGGTGAAGAGGTATTGTATCGCTGTTCGACATTTTTGGCTCCGAAGAAGTAGGGATTTACGGGGAATCTAAGGACTCAAGAGAGATCTCGTGTGAGAGAGAGAGAGAGAGAGAGAGAGAGATCAGAGATAGCTCGCTTTGCTATTTTGGATCGAAGACGAAGAGAGGGTCCAGCAATCCGGCCCTCGCAAGTCACGGCCAAGAAAATCGGTTAATCGGACACGGGTCATCCTTGGATCGGGTTTAGATCCGAAATTTTCCCTCCCCGATGGCGATGGAAAGCAACCTTCACCTGATTTGGACTAGACGCGTTTGGAAGAAAGGTACATTTTTATAAAATTACTTGCACAAAACTCGTGGAAAACTGATTGGAAAAAGATTTCCCAACTTGTATTAAAAAGATTAATGACTCTTAGAAGTTGAAATTTTTAAGATAATAAAAATAAATTATCATGGATATTATCTTGAACTCTATAAAATTACAATTTAATATTTCCATCCAACTTTAATATGAATTAGCCCATGATATCATATATTAAATGGTTTGCCATTAAGAAAACACATTTTTTAGTCTTGTATATTATAAAAAAGGTATTCTTCTTCATGAAGTAATGACAAATTTACATTTAGATTATTGCTACAAAAATAAGCAATGCTAATGTTGAGAAACATGAACATAATTTTTTCAAAATTTTGTCACCGTTTAACATGAAGTTTAAGCACAATTGCATTAGGTTTCACAAATTGTCAGACAGAACATTACGATTTGGTAAAGCTGTACCTTCTTCACCCTTTTTTTTCCGATTATTTGGACAACTGAATTTTTGGGAGTAGATATAAGATCTTGTGATTTATAACCTTTGATACGATAATTAATGTTTTCAAATTTGATATTTTATTAGAAACATTGGTTACTCTAAAAATTTAAATTTTGAAGACGTGAAAATCATCATATAAATAAGTATATTACTATTATTTTCCTCTAATTTCCAAGAGTTTGTCCTGTTAAAAATTAATTTCTCTATCCATTGCATCTTTTTTTGTAATTTTAACATTCTGAAAAAACAAATAGAAGAGAGAATAATATACAAGTGCTTCAAAACTCGTTTAAATACCACAAAATATATTAATAACTTAACAAAATAAAATGACATCTATGTTAGCTGTCAATTTGTCATTTTCTTTTAAGTTGTCAATGAATTACGTAATATTTAAATATATTGTGAAGATTTCAAAGTAATTCTCCTAAAATAGAAACGTATCTCACTAACAATGAATGCCTGAAAACATGTTTATTGACCGTGATGATAAAATTAAAAAAGGCCACATCAAAAGGTCACGACGTATCAATTTATTGACCGTAACGAAGAAAATCATATGCTGGGCAATGCATATGGCAGTACCGAAATCGGCTTCAAAAAATATAACCATTACAAAAATATTTCAAAACTGGGTTCTCTTTTTCCCTTGCTGCTATGAAAGATTTCACAAATGCTGCGAGTTCCTTGGTTTCCATTCATGATATATGATTGAGCTTTAAAAAGAAAAAAGAAAACCATAACCCACCATGGGTTCTGGAAATAATGTAAAATGATGAGGGGGATAAATAAGTCGCCAGAAAGAGTGGAAAGGACAGACCATGTCAAGGCTTGAGGGCAAGAGCAAGACCAAACTTGGCGGACGAACTTGAGGCCTTAGTGTAGTCATATTCACCGAGAGGGTTATGAGCGAATTAGGCCTCCAGGCTCGTTGG